GTGCAATATGTACAATGCCAACATTATGGCTTCTAAAAATATAATATAAATTTCTTAATTTAAAATTAAAAGGTTTTCCTTTAGACAGATCTTGGAAATCTAAATTTTTTTCTACCTGTACAAAGTCTTGAGATTTTTCTTCATTATTTTCTTTCTCTGCTAATAAAAAATCCATTTCTTTTTTAATATTTTTGACATATGTTTTAAAAGTGTTACATTGGACACCTTTTTCCTCTTTTGTATTTTTTTTATTCATTTCTTTTTGTTTTAAAACCTTCACCTCTTCCTTTAAAATTTCAATTCTTTTTGTTTTTCTTTTCATATTCCTATTGATGTTCCTCATATTTACAGACCTTAAGCGGTCTTTCAAAGCTGCGTTTTCTTTCTTTAATTGTAAAATTTCTTTTTGTTGTTCATCAATTTTTTCTTGTAATTCTGGATATTCTTGATTTTTATCATCTTCTTTTTGTTCCTGCATTGTATCTTCTTTGATTTTCCTTTCTTTCTTTGAAGTTGGTAATTCAAATTTTTTTTGGCAATAGGCATTATACTTTTCTTTGTTGGTATATTTCTTAAGACGTTCCATTTCTTTTACTATTTTTTTGACCATCCATAACAATGCAAATTTACTTATTTGCAAACAAGAAACGCCTAGGGCACCACAAATGCTTTTGTGAATATTTAGAATGTAATCTTCACCGCCCTTATGTTTGTCATAAATTTCTTGGATGTTTACGTACAACAGATCCATGATAATTAATAAAGTTAAACATGAACTAGAGTGAAAAACAGTGACCTAACTGATGTTAGAGATTACCACAAATTTGCTGTATAAAATGAAATGAAATTGAAATAAAAGAAAAAAATGAAAACAAAACTAAAAATTGAAATAAAATCAAAAAAAAAAGAAGAAAAAGAAATTAAAGAAAAAATGTAACTGAAATCAAAAGAAAAAATGAAAACAAAACTAAAAATTGAAATAAAATGAAAGAAAAATCAAATAAAAAGAAATTAAATGAAATAAATTGAAGAAAAAATGAAATAAAGTGTGCTTGAAATATAATGCAAACATGTATATACAAATATAGCACCAAAAAAAAATTACATTTTGCAACACATATACACTGAACAGTGTACATAATAACTAAGTTTAAAGAATACATACCTTAATGTGGATAATCTTTGTGTTGGTATTTCACTCTAGTAAAATCTTTTCATTTAACAACTGTTAAACATCTATAATAAAAAATATTATTATTAAGACTGTAAATCTTATATTTCCACAAAATGCACAATTAAAATACATATTATGATGAACCTGTTTCAGCCGCTAAACCTTAATTGAAATGTCTTATAACATCGTATTATTAATTTTTATGTATAATTTTTATCATATGTAGACACTGATTTTTTCTGAAACAAACTATAACAAGGGCAGATAATCTATTTACAGTATATTTGATCGTTTAACAGTACACCAGCGTTTTAAAAAAGAATGTGAAAAAGTGAGAACAATAATAATAATTTAATTACATCAATAATAAATAACAGGTAATAAGCAATCATTCCACGCAACTTAATATTACTTAAGCTAAACTTTATACTGACTACCATTAAAAATACTATAATTCTCTCATATGTTGACAAGGCATTGTGTTACTTGAATTTTTTTTACTTTTACCAATATTATTGCCATTTCAAGAATATATTATCAATACAAATGCAAAACAAAACGATTTTTATTCTTGAATTGCAATGTCAGACATTTAAATCACACTTAGACCCAATAAATTACTTGCCTCAACCCTCAGATGAGACTGCCGTCTATCACAAACGTGAAAACATGGATCTCGTGCCTTCCGGTTAGTTACTATATTTAGATAAGATGGCGTCAGGTGGAATAGCTACTTGTTGACTTTCACAACGAAAATTATTTAAGTGATTTCCGAGCTCGATTTTTAAAACAACTCTTAAGAGATTATTTTTTAAAGTTTTGCTATCATAAGAAGACATGAATGTTATACTGTATTTTCGAGAGAAAAATGCCCAAAACTTGATTGAAAAGGCAAAGGAGTGTTAACCTGCGCAAAGTATTTAAAGAACTAGTGCAAAATAATGAGTATTAATTTCTATCGGGATCGGCATCAATAAAATTATTTTGATGTAAACAAATCCCTTCCACCTGTCACACTCACAGCTGGTGTTTTATACGTGTACCAAATGATTGTCGTGTAAGTATTGCGTAACTTATGCATAATTTTGCAAAAAAGTTATAGAATAGATTCGGAATATAAACATGCATTTATTTGAAATGATTGTCTTGCTCTAGATTTATAGTAACATGCTTAAAGTTCTGTCAAATTGACTGATTGAAATAGATGATAAAGATCTTTTTCAATTTCTATTCATATTCATATAAAATATGATTCTTTCAGACACTGAAAAAGACTGAATGTTCGGCCATGTTATCCTGTATGAAAGCCCAGAAGGCTCATTCGAGATTCGAGTTTCCAAATACGAGATTCGAAATTCGAGATTCAAAATTCGAGTTTCGAGATTCAAGATCCAAACGAACCAATCAAAAGCGGGTTCAACATTTGATTATTTCCCTTTATTATGTTTTTACTATCAAGAAATAGTTCAATATAATTATATCTAATGGGTCATTTGATTAAATTACAATGCAAGAAAAAGTGTTATATATATTAGAGGGAAATTTAAATAATTAATGGAATTTTGATCAGCAAAAAATATTTTTATTTATATCATAGATTCTTAAATATTAAATAGATTTCATATATCAGGAGTATATATATTTTTGAATTGTCTACTAAACTTAATTTTAATGCATTTCCTGTGTTAGGAAAACCACAGGTACTTGTGAAAGGTACCCCACCCCCCCTCCCCCCTCGATATTCAACCCTAGGGCTTATTGGACATTTTTTTCACAAGTTTTTAAAATTATTAAACTTATTCATCATGTATACAGTAACAAAAAATTCTAAAATCCCCAGAATAATCGCACAACACCCCCCCCCCCAACTACCCACTATACATTATAAGAGAAGGATATGCCACTCCAGTCTGTTGACGTTGTACCCCCTCTGGTGTTAAATGCATTTATTTTGTTTTAACTTTATATGTCGATTCACACTGTCTCTACATATACAATGTATTTCCAGGGGCGGATCCAGGAATTGAAGTTAGGGGGGCGCCAGATTCAGGCAGGGGGTCTGGGGGCCGCCTTCAGGCCCCCAGTGGGTCCAGGGCAAAGCCCTGGTGGGGGCCCAGGGGGCGAAGGCCCCGGAAGCTCTTGGATTCTAGAGGTTTTGTAGGGTAAAAATGAGGTCTACCGAGTAGACATTTAAAACATTTTCTCGACAAACTATGTTTTATGCTAACTTGGACAATTTTAAGGGGGCGCGCGCCGGGTGCGCCCCCCCCCCCTAAATCTGCCACTGATTTCTGTCTTAGTCCATGCTATCGGACTGACTCTGCATCACGTAATAATCCCACATTTTTTCCGTAAACAGCTTTCTTTCTTTTAAAGTGGGGTAATAAATAGTGTTTTTTTGTTTTGTTTTTTTGGTTGAGCGATTATTCTGGGGGTTTTACGCCAGCGATTTTTTTCGTATTGTAAGGCTACACTTAACCTATAAATAAGCCCCGGGGTTCAATATCAAGGGGGGGGGGGGGGGTCTTGTCCACACGTACCTGTGTTTTTCTAAAAATCATGACAAGAAACATGTATTGACGTAAGCGTCAAAAATCGGCCGCAAACCAATTAATGTTCCTTTTATGAAGCAACTAAAGACTATGGTGGTCTGTTTTTAAAATATCTTATATTTATCTTTTAATATATACCCTCGTGATATTAAAAGCTTGTGCTCTACATTGCATGATTTTCTTAATTATATAATGCATGTTCAGTATTAACCCCTGATACTCTGCGTCAACAACTTTTGAACCGTGGGCCTGTATGGCATTTACATTAACAGTTTAAAACTAAAATTAAATGTAATCTACAACTAGATATGCAGTGTAGTTTAATTTAATAAAAATGCAGCAAATATGTTGGTATCCTTGCTCTCTCTTAGAGGAAAAAACTAAACTCCCTCTAGATCCGCCACTTCATTTCTTCTCTTTGAGTTGTAGCGGGAAAATTCTTGGCACATTGTAAAACGTGCATTATCCTCGTCTGCTAACGGCCAAATCTTGTAATATTTTGTAGCCTGCTAAGTCTTTTAATGAATTTACATTTAACCATATTTTTCAAAATGTTTATGTGTGTACATATGTACACGTCATTTTAAAATAAATACGTACAACAAATCCCGTTTGAAAGTAAAATTGTGTAATATACATAACGCGGTCTTTGATTTAGACTACGCCCAACACATGTCTTAATTTTCTCCGCACTTCAAACATATCTAAATTTCTAAGTCAATATTGGATGAATTATTTACCTCATTCTTCATAAGAATTTTTAATTTTATGTTTATTGTGCGTTCTTCTTTAACCTTTACACCGTCTTTTTAATATACTATTATTTTAATGTTAAATATTTTTAATTTAAATTGTTTTTCCTCCGTAGACTTTCATATCTTATAACCAACCACCTCCTGGCGGCCGGTAATTAGCCGTCAATACAAAAATATAATTATATACTCCTGATATATGTAATCTATTTAATATTTAAGAATCTATGATATAAATTGAAATATTCATTGCGGATCAAAAATCCATTAATTATTTAAATTTCCCTCTAATATATATAACACTTTTTCTTGCATTGTAATTTAATCAAATGACCCATTTGATATAATTATATTGAATTATTTCTTGATAGTAAAAACATAATAAAGGGAAATAATCAAATGTTGAACCCGCTTTTGATTGGTTCGTTTGGATCTTGAATCTCGAAACTCGAATTTTGAATCTCGAATTTCGAATTTTGAATCTCGAATTTCGAATCTCGTATTTGGAAACTCGAATCTCGAATGAGCCTTCTGGGCTTTCGTACTACGTATGAGTTAGCTCTACTCTTCACTTGCCTTTTGGGTGACTTTCTTCCCTCCACTGTAAAAAGCACTCATGGAAACCTGCCAAGAGCTTTGATTGACAGTTCTACACACTGGGGCGTGGCCTTTTTCTCATGGGCAATCATTGTTCAGGCAAAGAACTATAAAGAATTTGCTGAATGTCTGTTGTGTGGAGTCCTTGCCATGGGGATTGATGCTGACCATTTCATAGCCGCCAGGTCCTTGTCTCTCCAGGTAAGTACATGTTATATTCAATTCTTTTTTTTTTTTTATTCACACAACATACAGCATTATATACATATTTCAAAAGAAACAGAATGATGTGTTTTTTATTTTAAGAAAGAGAGAGAGAGAGAGAGAGAGAGAGAGAGAGTGAGAGAGAGAGACAGAGAGAGAGGAGAGCAACAGAGAGAGAGAGAGAGAGAGAGAGAGAGAGAGAGAGAGAGAATGTAAAGGTTCAAGTTAAGAGAATAGCAGATTCCATCTGTTCCACTGGGTATCAAACTTTTCCTTTTTACCATTCTTATAAGAGATAATTTTTTGTGTTTCATAATGAAATTTCATTTGTGATATTGCATTTTGTACATTAATAGGTTTCTTTGTGCACCTTGCAGTATAAATATAGTATTTAAGCCGAAGAAGAATAGCATTTTGAATTTCAGTATTTTCCTCAATAACATACAAACAAACAAAATCAGCCATTACACATATCACTGACAATATTCAATTTTAACTAATTTTACCCGTGGCACACCGTCTTCAGATAATTAGTGACATCCTTTCCTTCTGTCAGATCGAGCAGACTCTGAACACAGAAAAGTCTAGCAATGAGCTGTAGAGACAACGGCTCCGTCATTGTCCTATATTAATATCGTTGGACAGTTGAGCTGATCAAGAATCTGACAGAAACAACTATACACTTCTGGTTCAAATAAATACATATTTACTAATTTAGGAATTATGGGGAGGTTTCTTTGTTTGTATGTCACAAATGTTTCAAATTATCGTTGACTCTTCAACAATCCCCATTAGTACATTTACGATCACAATGAAGATTTTCTTGCATTTCTTGTTGACTTTCACAACGAAAATTATTTATGTGATTTCCGAGCTCGATTTTTAAAACAAGTCCTAAAGAGATTATTTTTTAAGTTTTCCTATCATTAGAGGACATGTATGTTATACTGTGTTTCTAGAGGAATAAATACCGAAAACTTTATTTTAAAGGCAAAGAAGTGTTAAACTGCTCAAAACATTTAAAGGACTAGTGCAAAATATTGTTTATTAATTCCTATCGGGATCGATATCAATAAAATTATTTCTATGTAAACAAATCTCTTCCAGATCCACCTGTCACACTCACAGCTGGTGTTTTACTGTTTTATACGTGTACCAAATGATTTTCGTGTAACTTTTATGTAACTTATGCATAATTTAGCACGTAAGTTATAGAACAGAGTCAGGAATATAAAATATGTATGTATTTGAAATGATTGTGTCGCTCTTAGATCTTTAGCAGCTGTTCAGCTGTTTAAATATACAATGTACATCTACATGTATCTGTCTGTCTTTAGCATGACTTTCTGTCAAATCAAAACAGATGATAAAGGTTTATTTCAGTTTCTTTGCATATTTATATAAAATGTGATTCTTTTAGACTCTGAGAAAGACTGAATGTTTGGCCATGTCATCTTGTATGAGTTAGCCCTTCTTTTCACTTGCCTCTTGGGTGACTCTCTTCCTTCCACTGTAAAAAGCACCCATGGTAACCTACCAAAAGCTTTGATTGACAGTTCCACACATTGGGGCATGGCATTTTTCTCGTGGGCAATCATTGTTCAGGCGAAGACATAAAGAATTTGCAGAATGTCTGTTGTGTGGACTACTCACCATGGCGATAGATTCTGACCACTTCATAGCAGCTAGGTCCTTGTCTCTCAAGGTTAGTAAAGTTTTGAAGAGGAGGAATAGGTAAACATACTTTAAAAATTCATATATAGTTACATATATTATAATGAAAATCATATGGCTATAGACTGGGAAGGGAATCTAGGACCCCTGCATTACCGAGATATTCAGGCTGATGTCCTCAGACCAGCCTCAATTCCTACAGTATTTAACCATGTATAGAGTTGTCCCAGATAATTGAAAGAAAAGGGGACATTTAAAAATGTAGAGAAGAGGTTCAATGGTTTTTAAAATAGAAATACAAAAATAAATGGGGAATTGCTATATAATCATAGGCGGCAATATTCCCCTACCTTTGGGACTTCAATGTACAACTTATCATAAACCAATAGAAGTGAATTTGCCGTGATATATGTAAATCTTCGGTCATTGCCTTTCAGATTGGATTCAATACCAGCCCCTCAGGCTGAACCAGAATCAAGACCAAAAAGAATTATATAATAGACTTGGTGCATACCCCTTACTTGATTTGAATGGAATGTTAGTGAGAAAAAACAAACATTTTTGTGTAAACAGATCTCCCATTAATCCACACATAGACTTGATAAAGAAATATTCATCAGAAGACTGTACAGATTACTGTTAACAATTTTACTATCATAATCTGTGCAATATAACCAAAATTTTAAATGCATGATAAAAGGCAATGATTATACTTGCATGATTGTGTATATTTGATTGAAAATATTGATCATTTTGTTACATCAGACTAAACTTTCATCATAAAACATCAGTTACAACTCATAACACCTTAAAATGAATAAACCTGTATGAATTTTAAAGGCGGATTCTGCCTGGAATTTGGGTGGAATTGAGCAGGAATTGGCAAATTCCGGGCGTACTTGAGGCGGAGATGGAATTTTCAAAGAGTTACGCCTCAGTAGAAGAGACGTCTTACAGGCGTCATTTGTAATTTACGGGCGTCAATTGGCAAGTTCAGATTTTCCGGGCGTAAAATGGCAGGAAAATAGAAACAAAAATTACGCCTGGAACTTTCAGGAGAAGTAAAAGCCTCTGATTGGTCAATTTAATTATCAATTAAGGGTCATTTCAGATAGGAGGTTAAGTTTGAATTTGATCATGAAGGAGGCAGTTTAGTGTGAGTGAAACAGGAAATGCAGATATCTCAATGTTAAGGCTTTTACACTTCTGCTGGTAGGTGTGATCATGAATATCTAGTACCTATTTGAGTAAATTTGATTATGATTATGTACAATGATAGTTATAACTGGTTGACCCTAAAATTACTTTAGATATTTGAGTTTGTCCTTGCACACATTCTAAGAAATATCAGTCTGATAGAGGCTGCAGTGAGAATCTAACTGTAAACTGCTGAGTAAATGAAGAATTGTATTCAGTCAGTTAAACTAAAATGTTTCAATATAATTATTGAAGTGATAAAATGTACAGGTATTGTAAAAAAGTTTAATTCTAAATACATACTCAATCATGGTGGTCGTGTTTTAGTGTCCCTAATACACAAAATTCATGTTATTTTTCTATACTTGTTAATGTATTATGTTAATGACCTGTCATTATGTTTTCTTACAGTTCAAAAAGCAAAATTTTTAGCTTTAACATTGTAAATCATAATCTGAATGTTTTTCTTTGTTAACATGGTAAATATATAGGTTTTAAGGTCACATAGTATTATATAATAATGACATTCCAGGCGTAATTCTATTCCAGGCGTCATTTTAGTTTCCAGGCGTAATTTTTTTACGGGCGTCATTTATTTTTCCGGGCGTAGCTCATTTGCATTTTTCGCCTCAAATTCCTGCCCATTTACGCTTGGTTTCCGCCTAAGTTACGCCCGGAACCTGTGTATCACCATACATGTAGAGAGACAAATTGACGCCTCTCCAAGTACGCCTCAATTCCCCCTATATTCCAGGCGGAACATTTCGTACAGGAAGAATATTGTAAATATTTTTAAAGACATATAATCATTTTAATTTGCATTTCAGGCAGCATTGTCACTGAGTTCACGACCTTTCCTCCACTCAACGACCTTGACCCTGTCCATATCTCTCATTATCTTCATAACTGGACACATTCTAAACAAAGGGTGGATCAAGCTTCTCTCTGTGATGTGTTTTATAGCCTGGACATCACACCACATTAGGGATGGAAGTAGACGAGGCCTCTGGTTTTCTCCCATTGGATCCACCCCTCCAATTCCTTATAATCTTTATGTAATTTTGACACTTTTATTGCCACTATTGGTGATATTTATTCTCAAATTATTTAATTCTGATTTTATGAGATCTGATTTACACAGACAGTTGTATGTAGAAGCTAAATCTAAGAATGTGCTTCCTATATGATGAAAAGGTTTGAATAAAAAAGGCATAAAATCTACACAAAACAGACTGCATATTTTATTTGAAAGTCAAAGGTTTAGGTTACATACATTGTATGCATTGAAAAAAATGAACTAGATGAAAATAAATATAAAACAAATGTGGATGGTTATTGGAATTCTTTAACTTGTAGACAGCATGGTCCAATCACTTGTCATCTGAAAATAAAGGAAATAAATGTGAAAGCTATTAATAAATACCTTTTTTTTTTTCAAAAAATTAATAATTACTATAACATGTAATAATTCTTCTTTCATTTACCGACAGTTCAACTTATAAATTACAGTTTTGTAAAATTTACCATTTTTAAGGTCTTCCGTTTCCAACGGAAGACCTTTTACCGATTCTGATGATTAAGATTATTCTTATTATTCTTTTTTTTTTCCTTTTCCTAGACGCCAACTTTGAGGCCTCATATTTCACTCATTTCTCAATGGATTTTGCTCAAATTTTCAGAGTTTATAGACGTTACTAAACTCTATCAGAATTTTCTTCTAGCATTCCAAAAATTCACTTCCGGTTTTGAGTTATTTCCCTTTAAACGAAAATGTATAGGCTTTCATTTCCAGACAAAGGCTCGGAGATGGGAAAAGCTGGAGCAGAAATTTTACTGATTTTACACAACAGAAGGATTGAAGTTGTGCATGGCGGTTTTTGTTTTTCGATTTCTCTATTCAAAATGGTGCTATATTGGGGTCAAAAATTAGAACGCCTGAAAGAGCGAAAATTTACACATATTTTGCTTTTTATCTTCTAAACTAAAAATATTTTGTTAAAACATATAGAACAAAATTTGTGCAGAATTACAAGATCTTTTAAATGATATCTAGAAAAAAGGGCTGACCCCTAAATTAAGGGATCTAGAGGGGCCAAAATTTTTTTCCAGGTATCTCAAAAAGTATTGAGAATTTGTAATACGTCCAAGAAGCAAAGTTGTTCAAAATGTCAAGCTTAATCTATTGAAGTCATCAAAATGCGTCTGGCGATGTCACTTCCGGTTAAACCGGAAGTCGTCAGAAAATGCATATTTTTGCCGTTCTTGACAATTTTTTGGGTAACATATGTCACTGGAAGCATAAAACTTAATTTTCTGTCAGTGGACATCACTTCCGGTCAAACCGGAAACAGCCAGAAATAGCTTATTTTTTAAGGTTTTGATGCAAAATTGAAATTATGAAGTGACTGGAGACGACTAAGCTCATTGTTTTCTTTTGTTGACGTCACTTCCGGTCAAAACAGGACGGAAGACCTACTCGTTGCTTTGCAACGAGCTTTGCTCTAGTTCTATGTACATTAATTTAATATACTCATTGATTTATTGACTGTAGTGTACAACAAAGACTGTACATGTACAACTGGACTGTTGTAAAATTTACTGTAAAACTTACCGTTATTACATTTATTGCCTGTACATTTCATTTCGCCGTTTGATTGACAGGTGCATAAATTACAACCGTCCAGTGATGTAGATTGTTCTCCGATATTGTAATGCATGTTGTTATACAAACATTTTACAGGAACATCTGAAATACACAAAAAAAAAAAAAAAATGCAATTCATATTCATTTCACAAAGAATTTTTTTTATGTACACACAAGCTTTATTAATTTTTCTTTCAAATAAATAACTTTTATACTTTCCTAATGTATGGTTGTTAAATAGAAAATAACTTATACTTTTTTTTTTGCATGGTTGTGAAATAGAAATTTATTTTTTTTTAAAGAGCATTTTATTTGTAACATATATACCATGTATATCTCATATTACATGTACTTTTATCCTCGATCTTATAATCAATTTACGGTGAACATTTGGAATTTTGTACAATATATTTAAAAATGATGGAATTAAGGTGGCTCAAACCTACCTTTAATTGCCGAGAAAAATTGAGGTGCAACATAGACAGGTGACGTCACCGGTGTCGGTACAGGTGCATGAATGGGGAACCGGAGTCGGTTATCTTATCTTGTATCGGTAGGGGGCGCCACAGGAAAATGCGGTCCATTACAAAAGTGATAAAACCTGTGAAGATGGATAATCAGCATCCATTCTCGAATACGATATCGGAAAGCACACACGTTTCAGTTACAATCCTTAATTTACTATGGCATCTAATTGTGGTGATATGACTATACCTGAACTTAAGAACGAGTTAGAAAAGTTTGGAGCAAAGAAATCAGGAAGGAAGTGGGAACTTGTGGAGAGGTAAATAAACATACGATGTTTTCATGCAAATCCAAGTAAACATTATTAATAACACAGTAAATAATTATCAATGGTGTGTAAAAGATTAACATTAAGTTAAATTGACAGTAAATATCAGAATTATCTCGTTTAAGAATCTTATTCTTAAATAATCTGCAACTTTAGCGTGTTAGATTTTTAACTTGAATTTCCTCGGTAATTCTAACATCGATCTCATATTGCTTGGTGCTTGCAGTAAAATAAGAATACTTCTCTACATTTTTATTATGAAGCAGTATTATTATTTCCTGATTGTTGCAGCTATGTTTCACTCAAAATATACATGAAAAAGAATTAAATATGCTTATTTTATTGCAGACTTGAAGCCTACAGAAGAAATGCACATTGTGCTAAGACCGATGTTTATGGACCTGAATTTATGATGATGACGCCAGATCCACAACTCTACAAGGACCTTCATGGTGACAAGACCTTTCCAGGTTGCACAGAGGCAGAAATTTCCACTTTCTTGTCGAAGTTTAATAAGACAACTGATAAGAAAGGAAGGGATATGTACAACGATGGGTTTATCCAGTATGTGAGGGTGACATTTCATGATTCAAATTGGTTCGTTAGAAGTAGTGTAAAAGCTTCAATGATGAAGTCTGTGAAATATGTTGTTGACATTATGATAGGAAAAGACAGAAGTGTTATAGAGTCTCAATGTGAATGTGCGGCAGGCATGGGACCCGATGCACATTGCAAGCATGTCTGTGCTGTACTTTTTTCATGTGCAGATTTTGTTAAGCATGGGACATACAAAACAGAACTCACCTGCACACAGAGGTTACAAACTTTTCATCGTGCTAAGCCCCATAAAGGAAGCCCTATGAAAGCAAGACAGTTGGACATGCCAGGCTGTGACGAAGTATGCAATAATGACTATGACCCTCGTCCAGTTGAATTTAGAGGCAATCCGGGATACCAGTCTTACTTTAGAAATGTGTGCTTGAATTACCCAGGTATTAGTAAGACTCCAATTTTTCAGCTGTATGAGCCTGTAAACATGAAAGCTTACAACCTGGACCATGACTATCTAAAAGACACGTTTAGTAAAAATCATTTGAAACTTTTAAATGTATCAGAAATTTCAGAGGAGAATGCACGTCAAGTTATGATAAAAACAGCTACACAAGCGGCCAACGACCTTTGGTTTGAGGAACGTTGCAAACGTCTTCATTCTTCGGTATTCGGGAGAATATGTAAAGCAACTGATCGAACTGATAAGGTGAAACTTGCTGACTTTTTAACAACAAAGGCACAAAAAATTAATGCTAAACCTATTCTTCATGGAAGAAAATACGAAAAAGAAGCTGTGAAGAAGTACCAGGAAATTTCGGGACGCACAGTTTACAATAGTGGAATTTGTGTCAGTCTGGACTCCCCTCATTTAGCAGCAACCCCAGATGGTATTATTGACGATGACACCTTGATTGAAGTTAAGTGTCCATATGTGGCAAGAAACAGTTTTATTTCCTCAAAAACAGTTCCTTATATCAAGCAGTCTGGAAGTAAATTTTATTTGAATAAAACCCATGACTATTACTATCAGGTCCAAGGACAACTTTACTGTGCAGAGAAAAATGAGTGTATATTTGTTGTGTATACTTTCAATGACTTTTTGTTCTTTGCAATAGAAAGGGATGATAAATTTATTGATGAGATGAAGAAAAAATTGAATGAATTCTATGAAGATTTTTTTAAGTCTGCTCTATTGGAAAAAACTTTTTTCAAGACATATGATGGAAAATGTAGTTGCAATAAAGAAAAATGAAATAAAGACTTTTTTCTCTTATTATGTCATTTTTGATACCAAGTTATGCATAAGATGGCACTATGCAATTCTTAAAATTACACAACATGAAACAAACATAGATTATTTCTGAAGAAAGTTTTGTTTCAGAACTATTCATAGGCTCAGTCAGAATTTTGAATGTTTTTGCAAGTCCAATGATCCTCTCAATGTGCACACGTTTGCTGGATATTTTTCGGTCCTCAATCACAGTAGCACATGACATTCTGTTTTTCTTTTTGAAAAATGTTGGTGTATTTATTTGAATGTTCCTGTGTACAAACATATCCTGCACATTGAAACCTTTGTCCGCCATTATTGAATCTCCAGAATTGCACATTTCTAACAGCCTACTTCTTTCAACTATTTGACGGTCACTTGTGGATCCCCCATAAGCTGTAGAAATATAAGATGTTAATCCACCTGGTGTCGCTCCTACAAGAACTTTTACCGTGTCACGGTTTTTATAGGTAGAATACGTTGTTTGCTGTGGCTTTGGTAACTTTGGTCTTTTAATTGGACACTCTGTGCCATCTATTATCACTCTAGTATTTGGAAATTTTGTTTTAAAATCTGATGGACAGTAATATTTTACAAGATACTTTGTAGGCCAAATGTCGATTTCCTGCCATTGCTTACTCATGAATAAAATCCATGTAAAAAATATATTTGATACAGTCTTTTCGGAAACTCCAAATAATCTTGAAAGTTCAAAATTGGTCGTATGGCGCCGTAACTTGCAGAGGACTAAGAAAAATTGGTCAGGAACACTTATGTTTGAAACCTTATGATAAATATAATTCAAACAGTGAGCTGCGGGTCCTAAGGTTCTTAAAACAAAATAAAATTTAGTTAGAGTTTCCAATCCAGTATAGAAATTTACTCCAGCATCATCATTTGTAAAGTTTTCAATACTCATTGGGGGATACCGAGGAGTTTGTGTCTGTACATCAAAAAATTTAACGTCAGATTTCTGAACAGTGACTTGAATTTCTTCAGCCATAATTTGGGTAGAGTTAGATACAATTTCCTCGGATACTTGCAGATCATCAGCTGATGTATAGATGAATTCATCTATGGAAGACGAAGCAGAAAATTCTTCTGCTAGTTTTCGTTTGATGCCTCTGGACTTGGCTCTGTCGGCTCGTTCATGTGAATGTGGACTTGGCTCTACCCAGGGAAAAATGCTTGGCACTGCAGTTTTCTTCAATCTTTTACTTAAAGGAGTAGTTCCTAAGAATTAAATTATTTAATATATCAATACTTGTTCATAGTACTAGATTATTTATTAAATAATTAATTTATAATTTGAACTAACTTTTTAAAGCAAATAAAACAAATATAAATTTACTAAAATATTTTTATTATTACAAGTATTATTGTTATAAAATTGATGTTACAAAACATGCCCATGTGTTTATTAATTCAACTAAACAGGTCAAATTTGTTTTTAAGCAGGGTGCTAATTAGACATCAATGTCAAAACACAGTATCTTGTACTGGTAGATATGCATAAATTATCAGGCAACAGCATGTGTTCTTTTAGACATGCCTTGTGTTTATATTGTTAAAAGATAATGCGTTTGTAATAAATGACCAGTAATTGAAGTTGTCAGTGGGGAGTCTGCATGTGGCAGTGTCTGTAACGTTATCAGATTACTTCGTATGAGAGGTAAACAAGGGATTCGATATTTTAGTGCATTTCATCTAAGCAAATAAGGCATAAACATTGCTCAGAATAAAATCTATTAACATTACTTTGCACATGCTTATCAAAGATTTCAAAATAAATAAATAAATATTGTTACCATGCTGGGTTTCAGTCAAATAGTCGTCTGATTTAAAATGTGCTCTGCAAACAACAGCATGAGTTGACGGAGTCCAGCTTTGAAAACGAGTTTCACCACGTTTTATTGCGTGTATCCATGCTTTTCTTCTTAACGGATCTGTTGGAAATATATGGCCACCCCGATTACTACAATTCGGCACACAACAACAAGTTTCAGGCATGTTTTACGAGCATGTGTTTGACAGCAGATTGTTTACGTTTTTCTTCGATCGGTAACTACTGATAAGGCGCGAGGGTGTTCCGATACAGGACCGTGTTTGCCTGTGGCGCCCTCTAAAGAAAAGATAATCGGAGCAGGTTCCTAATTGCAGTCGTCTCCTTTAGGAAAAATATCACCGGATTTGTGTGATTTTCCCAAATACGTACAGTCTGTGAATAGAAAAGAAGATAGGTTTAAATAATTTTTATGAATTTTGTATGTTTATATGAGTTTTATACCTAGATATTTAAATGATAGGAACACACTTATTTCAGAGTTAGCATTGTTTCTGTATAAAGTTACATATATACAGGAAACTTGAGGCGGCATTCCAGCAACAAACTTATTTCAGAAGTAGTTGTTTTATATATAGAAACACATATACTGGAAATTTGAGGCGGCATTTGTGCTGATGTTCACTAAAGTTTGAAAAATCACAGACAATATAACACGAATTCTTTATAGACTCAATAAATATGGCGGTATAGAAAACCGAAATCAAACAAAAAAGTCAACTTATTGCCTGACGTCACGGCGTCAGGCAGTATAAGGATTGATATTTCCAAGATCCGAAAATGTGCGACCATATCTAAATAGCTAGATTTTGTGCAAGCTGATTTACATTGGAATTCTTTACCTGCATTTTAAAAGAAACCGTTTTCAGAAATAAGAAAGATATTACTGATGCGAAACACTGCAGTGTTTACTTCCTTTAATCTTGTTGCATGGAACAGATTATTCCATATGATTTGCCGTTTCAACATGTCCGTGTATCCCTTTTTCTGCATTTCTATACTACTGGATCAGTCCATTTATATTGTACGAAAGGGGTGAATAGCTCTTTTAGCGCCAAATGTCACTAGTAAGCTATCTTCGCGCCTTTTCCTTGGATTGTTCTATTGTATGAATGGGTGCCTTCCAGGGAATTAAATAAAGTTTGTCCTTTTAACTTCCTTCTAATGCTTCAGAAATTCTATCTACAAGTTTTATACCATTCTTTAAAACAACATATCGTATTCATCAGTATGCGTGGTATATGGACATGTAACACTAAAGAAATGATGTTTTTTAGTTTACCGATCCCGCGGTTGGTTTATTCCATAAATGGACGAGTCCAATAATAATAAACAACGCAGTTCAAGCCATCGTCTCCAGATGCATGATCTATTATATGTCTTTGTTCAGATGCATACGATAAATAAAAAAGTAGTGAATAATCTTGGATATTTCTTTCTACAAAGCCTAACTATTGAATTTACTTATTTCACTCTCAATATATCACGTATTATATGATAGTGTCACCCCCTCCCCTTTTAAGAAAAAAAAATAATGAACACACATTACTACTGTTTACTTCAGAGGAGAAAATACACTCCAACAAATTGTGTTTTTAATTATATCCATCTTTTAAAATGTTCAAAATGCGTGATTTGATAACAGATTTTATAATAGGTGTTACAATGTAGCTTGAAATCAATTTAGATCCAAGGGCAGATCACTCCACTTGCAAACCCCCCCCCCCTTTAACTACAAAGTTCTTTAGTATGCAGTGTAGAGATGATTCTTCTACAAGTTCAGTAAAATCAAGATTTCAATTACATAAGTTTCTCAAAATATAAAGTTAGGATATTTTTTAAACCCACAAAGTATTGCTCAAAAGGGTTATCACTCTTCATGCAGATAAATTGATTGATTTAGTCAGGCAAGCTTTTTAAAAAGCTGTTACTTGTTAAGCAATAAAAATCAGGAACTGAGCACTCAGGAAAGTATGGTCAGCATAACTTTAAAATTATCAGAAGTTGGATCAAGTGCTTTGGAAGAAAACACTTCCCCTGTCGACTGATGACACCCGCACCCGGCATGTGCACCTTATCATGATCGGAAAACGCAGAAATATTTGTATTTTTTCCATGTGTAATAATGTCTTAACGATGAGCCTAAATACAGTTTAAGTTGAATAGCTTTTAGTGAAGGGCATATGCTATAAGCTAGCTTTATACATGTATGACATACCTGGGTAACATGACATCTCTGTACAGCTGAGTTTTCCGGTCACCATACACCAACACGTGTTACATTTGTCTACCTTAAAGCTTTGGCCAGCCTTGTAGATTACGCCTCTATGATGACAATCTGTTAAAACAAAACTTTGCATAAACTCACTGTACATTGAAAACTATAGATCGCAGATCTCATCGCGACAGCGATCAAATGTTTTTTTCAAACCAGTACCAAAATCAGTCAAAACAAGTGTTCATATTCTGAGAGAGAGAGAAAGAGAGAGAGAGAGAGAGAGCTCACCTTTGAAACAGGATTTGGTTGATCACTGCAGAGTTCCGTCGGCCATACATTTACACATATTGCAGTGGTCTCCCTTGTCAAACATGTCGCCTTTCATGAAACCTTCTCCGCGATAAACACAATCTGTAAAATATAAAATAACACACGATGAAAATACAATATTCTAAATTTTGCTAAAAAGTCCTTTTGAGGGGTGGGGGGGGGGTGGGGGGTGGCCTTGGCTGTCTGAATGCCATATTGTATTCTTGAATGCAAAATATAACAAAGCAATGATTGATACAGCCTGCCCGAACCCCATCCCCTTGGACCACCCCGATCAATATCTAAGGACCATGTGAACCCCTTTCCCCCGGACCCCCTTCCCTCAATCACAAACAAACCGTTTAAATGACTTATAAAAGAAACAGATTATTTAAGAATTTGCGTCGGTCAGACTTCAAACGGGATTCTGACATTTCTGTGTAAGATGAACTTATTTGACAACATACCTGGGTAACATTTTTTGTTTGTACATTGTATGATCCCTCCAGGTAGACACCTGCAGTCATTACAACCATCACCTTTGCGGAAGCTTGATCCAGCATCGTACCGTTTACCTCTGTGCTCACATTCTGTAGAAAAGAAATAAAGTGAAATTTACTTATTTTATATTAGAATGATCTTTAAGGTATTTAGAGCAATCTAACAAAGCCAGGCCCCATGCAGGATCATGAAACAGACAAACTTTCAATCATCTATAAAAAAAAAATAAATTTTGTTAAATAAAATTCTTAATTTGCAGATTGATGTTGCCAAAATGGAATTAAAGCATTTCGTTTTGGACTGCTTAAAGTCTAAGTTATTTTACCAGTAAATGCATTCTTTGACTTTTCAGCTTAGATGCTTAATAATCCCGGGCCAGGACCAAAAATTTTATTTTGGAATTAATGCATGTATTTTGTAAATACAATGGAAGTTAAGCCCATCAAATGTGATTCATTAACATGTACGCGTACGAGGGTTGTCCCAAAAAGTCGTAGACAATGTTTATAATTTTTTAATCATGCACCCAATACTTACCAAATTTTACAAAGACATAATATAGTCCATGTTCTTTAAAACTGTGAATTTTTAAATACATATCTTTCATATTAATAATATTAAGACGATTTATATGAAGACGGATAAGGCCTGTCGGCGCACGGACAAAATTCGGAATAATTTACGCATATAACTATTACATTTGCTTTTATTTCTTTAGTACTATGTAATACATTGAACTCAAATTTAAATCACTGAAACCAGAAAAAACATCTTAATATCATGTCAAAATTTCATATAAATATCCTTAGAAACAGAAGATTGGTGTCATGATTTTCATAGTATCGATGAAATTGAGTTTGATGAAAATGACGTCGTCAAACGCGTAGTCGGCGCACTGAGATGTAATAAATTGTGTTGGATATGGTTTATATACATCAGAGACGGGAAAAAGAGTAAAGAAGTGACATTACACACCAGATTTTAATAATGAAGTTATTTTTAAATCGCACGATATTCAATGAGTTTTTCTTCTGTACCGAAAATGGTTAATTACGGCATGTACTGTTTGATAAACGCAGATAATTTGGAAAAATCTGGACCGCAAACGACGTCAAACAATTTGTATTCTCTGCTGCCTACAATGTAAGGCGATTTTTCGACTAAATGTCGACTGAAATTTGAATCTGCTTAAAAAAAACAAGTAAAAAACAAACGGACAGTAGTGAATTTAAATATGTCTGTTAATCAAGAGTGGTCTTTCACTTAAAAAAATTATTTAATGTTAATACCCGCTAGTGAAGCAGACAAAGAGATCATGGCGTTATAACAGACGTAATTTACTCTTTCTTTCGTGCGCCGGTGTACACTTATATTCTTTCTTTATTTTTTCATAATTTTCTTATAAGATGTGATATCATCATGAAACTTGAAGTGCATGATCATAAAATGTTACTCTTTGCTATGACAAGGAAAGAAATGTACTTAAGCAAAGAGAAACAGAACTGTTTTACCTGTCTACGACTTTTTGGGACAACCCTCGTAAAATAAAGGAAGATTTTTACGATTTTCAATTTATGTCTTTAAAAAAATATATAAGAACAGGGGTTTTAAAAAATCTGTCTTACTCGGGGCACAGGAGTCCGTTGTACAATGTAACGAGCCGGTCACCATACACGTACATCTGTTGCAGTTATCCCCCTTTGGGAATACAGCACCAGCTTTATAGGTTTTGCCTTCATGTCGACAATTTGTTGAATGAATAGATGTCATAATGCAATTTACTTTATACGTATATGTAAAAATTGCTTTTATTATTTTTTAATGCAGAAACATGTCATGATTTTTTATGTGATTTTCAAGTGCATGTACATGTATACAGCTAATGGTGTTGGATTTGTTTTTTAAATATATGATTTCTTCACATTTTTTGTTCAAAGAATTGTGGGCAAATGATTTCTTTAACTTACACAAGAAAAAACTTTTCCCCACTACAAACATGTGCTTTATAAAATAAAACAAAATTAGATAACTATAATGTACCTGGAAAGCACTTGTTTTCTGTGCACTTGACTTTTCCCGTTACTAGACATGTGCATGAGTTACAGCTATCCACTTTCTTAAAGGTATCACCCGCTCTGTATACAACGCCTAAATGCTGACACGCTGAAAGAAAGTGGGCGCTTAAGATGGCAATTCGGCAGGAAAAGTGGGTCATGAAAAGAATAAAAAAATATCATTGATTTATATATTTTTTTCAAAACATAGCCAATGAATGTGTTGTAGGTGAATGTAAAATGGGCAAATATTCAGTTAAATATGTTTGATTTTATTTGAATATGCACCTGAATATAGCCGTAGGAGTCAAATGATGCAAAAATCGACTCATTTGTAGCCGTTTTTCATTAATTTCGTTGTTTCTGGGTCTTCTCTCCATGAATTTTAAATGTGTTATCGGTGTATTTTTAACCGTAAAATTTATTCCAGTTGTTTAAAAAATGGAGAGACGACCCAGAAATACCAAAATCTAAACTTTTTCCATTTATTTTCTGGTAGAAAATTGACAAAGTCCAATTGTATAAGGCTTTGGCTTTAAATAATGATATAAATACTAGCTACGTATAGTGTCCCGCGGTAGCTACATTGGTTTGTCGCTGGATTCAAGCTATATCGAAGCTGCATTTTAGGTTCGAATACAGTGATTTTTATATTTTATTTTTTTAAAATCTTTTTGCTTATAATTTTTGAATTGGTACTGAAAGAAATACTACGGAAGCCCAATAGTGCAAACCAAAAATAAATAAAGAAAAACGAAATTAATATATAAAGAGAAACGAAATTAATATATAAAGAAAAACGAAATTATTATATAAACGGAAACGAAATTATTAAAAAAAGAAAAACGAAATTAATATATAAAGAAAAACGAAATTATTACAAAAAGAAAAACGAAATTAATAAATAAATCAGTTCGTTTTTCTTTATTTAATAATTTCGTTTATCTTTATATATTAATTTCGTTTTTCTTTATATATTAATTTCGTTTCTCTCTATTTAATAATTTCGTTTTTCTTTATTTAATAATTTCGTTTTCTACTTTTAATTATTTCGTTTTTCTTTATATATAAATTCCGTTTCTCTTTATATATTAATTTCGTTTTTCAAGTAGAAAACTGAAACTAAAATACGGAATTTAAATATGTGCATGGTAAGGGCCTGCAGGTGTCGTAACAGTAAATCATGGCTGACGCAAAATAATCCCGGAATCTTCCCTTCCGATTCTGGCATTTTTATACGAGACTGGAGCTGAATTTTTTTATGAGATGAAAATCAACATGTAAACTTCCTGTATCGACTGGATTTATTAAGATTTAGGGCGTGCTGATTTTTCTACATACTGTCAAGTGTGGGGAGTGATTAGGCCCTGGACTGCATTTTCAAACACCTTGTTTGCCTTGTGTGCCTTGCAGGATGGCTATGTATTTTTTGGTACTAAAATCTTTATAAAGAATGGTTTTACAAGATCTGAAAAGGAAACTTCTGAGAAGTTTGTTTTGAATTAATTACACCTACTCCAACTTGCGCATTTTTGGTAAAAATATATCGCAGGATGTAATATTGTTGTGCAACCTGAACCCATGAATCATTCCATAAAGCGCACATGCTATAAAGCATCACCTCGTAACTCTTTACGCCTTATATCAAAATTACAAATGTGTAGTGGAAATGAAAAAAATAAAGATCATATGAATGTCAAATTAACAAACGTAGAAAAAATATGTACACACGGCCGAACATTCCCATTTCCGTGAACAATTCATAAACTATTCAATTTTGTTCATATGTTGTGTCATATCCCCACATCATTGTTGGAGTCAGTAAGCCTGGACTTAGCGAGGGTGGCTGTTTCTGTTTGCACAGAATTAATGACATTCCAATAAAGCTCATGAATCGCGAGAAGGTCATGATCAAGACCTTGAGTATCGTATTACTGAATTCCCTCAAACTTAACCTAGCGTCCTATCTGTGTACTATAAATCATAGGTTGTTGAAACTATAAAGAGAAAATTGATTTGATTATTTTGTGGGATTTGTTTTGTGCAAGTGTGGGCATTGTTTGGTCACAAATATAACTGATTTATAAATACAGATTGAGAGTATGCCATTTAGAATATGTCAATCGAGTACTATAGCAGTCATGTAGTACCATTGACACGAATAATACAGATTGAGAGTTTGACATTCATTAAGACCAAGAAATCAGAAGTGTTTTGCTTTATTTCTAATATAGTAAGCAATCAATAAAATCTACTTATTGTAACCACTTTGACTTGTTTTAAGTTTTGCACTTGTTATCTTTAAACATTTTTTTACAATGTCAAACAAACTCACAAAGTTCGATATTACGTATTATTATACGTTTTTTCTAATGCATGTACTGTAAAGCCATGGGGATTACATAAATGTTAAAAATTCAACAGTAAAAAGTTGTAATTAACGTAATCTTAGCCTTCATGTTTATCTTAAATATTTGTGAAATTTATTAGGATAATCTCTTTAATGTTCATGTCCAAAGTGATTATTTATGTGTCCAGATTCATTATTTGCTGATCATTAGACCTTTCGAGCAGAGGATTTGAGAAAGCTAATGTTAACCAATTTTTAACGTAAACATCTCACCGAATTAATCACTGGCCAAATTATGAGACTGGCTTAAGTTCACATTCATCGTGTTATTGTAAGATAAAAACATAAATCTAAGCATATTACTATTAGATATCAAAGGTTAAATTCTCCCTATTCAATTATTGTAATGATTATGCATTCGATTTGGGAGTCGGTGAGTGCAAAGGCAAACATCACACTTGTAAATTGTCGAAACAAAATCAAGTCTAACAGACGCGTGCGCTAATGATTTATGGGTTCAGGCCCTTACCTTGCATATCTCTAAATTCCTTACTTTAGTTTCAGTTTTCTAATTGAAAAACGAAATTAATGTATAAAGAAAAACGAAATTATTAAAAGTAGAAAACGAAATTATTAAATAAAGAAAAACAAAATGATCTATTTAATAATTTCGTTTTTCTTTATATATTAATTCCGTGTTTCTTTATATATTAATTTCGTTTTTCTTTATATATTAATTTCGTTTTTCTTTATTTAATAATTTCGTTTCTCTTTATTTAATAATTACGTTTTTTCTGTATATATTAATTTCGTTTCTCTTTATATATTAATTTCGTTTTTCTTTATTTAATAATTTCGTTTTCCTTTATTTAATAATTTCGTTTTTCTTTATATATTAATTTCGTTTTTCTTTATTTAATAATTTCGTTTTCCTTTATTTAATAATTTAGTTTTTCTTTTATATATTAATTTCGTTTTTCTTTATTTAATAATTTCGTTTTCCTTTATTTAATAATTTCGTTTTTCTTTATATATTAATTTCGTTTTTCTTTATTTAATAATTTCGTTTTCCTTTATTTAATAATTTCGTTTTTCTTTATATATTAATTTCGTTTTTCTTTATTTAATAATTTCGTTTCTCTTTATTTAATATTTTCGTTTTTTCTTTATTCATTTTTGGTTTGCACTATTGGGCTTCCGTAAAATACTCTGAATATAGTTACTAATTATGTTTCATAAATTATTTTACATTAATTGTTTTATTTTTCAATGTGTTCAGATTTTGTTCATTATAGTGCTAACGTTCCCAAATAGAGATAAACATACATGAACTTGCAACTACAAAGTTACCCTGATGAAAAAATATTGAATATATTAATAAAAACTAGAAACTTCGATCGTACTGTTACATTCAATATTTTCAGTGCATTTAAAAACTGAGCACAAAAATTAGTTTGCATTAGACTTCTATTACATTCTACTGAATGTCTGCAGCATAGATAATTTATCTTTCATGACACCTTTTAATTGAAAAACAAATTATCTACAAATCAATAAACATAAGGCAGAAATCCATTCTCGTGAAGTTTCTAGGTTCATTGTATAAGATATGTATTACTACATCGTGCTTGGACATTTAAATCTGAATTGTTTCGTGTCAGTGATTCCTGCCGACTGCCCATCTAGTGCGCCCACTTTCTTTATAAAAGAATAGAAATTAACATTATTTCCCTAAAATTCACCGATAAGCAATTTTTATACATTTTGTTACATGTACTTTTAAAATTACATTTTTAAGAAGTTGATCAAAATGCATTTGTACGTCTGACCATAACTTTATTATTTTTTTTAGCTGATCAATACGTAATCTTCAAAACGACGTTACAACATAGGATTTTAGAAGTTGAAAAGTTAACATTTGCGTTTCTTATTTTATTTTTTTACGACTTTTTGCCCTGCCCCCTCCTCCTCCTCCAACCAACTCTGAAAACCGTTGCTATAGGCATGGGATGTTTTATAATCCCAGGCCTCGATCAACGTTGCATCCATTATATTCAAGAATGAGTCTTACTAGCTTTCTGAAAGCACTGCCTGCTTGAGCACAGTATCTGTCCGGTTAATTTACACCGACATGTATTACACCCGTCTTCAGCAGGAAATATCATTCCATTTCTATATTGTTTTCCTAGGTACACGCATCCTGTAAATTAAACGAAATAAAAATAAATAATGTTTGTTTGAAATATACATGGCATTGCATAGATGGTCATTTTGAAATAATTTTAGATCTTCTGATGTTTATTTCTATTGGTTTACAATATTCTAAATCTTCTTAAAAAATCAGCATGTAGTCTTTTTCACGTCAATTTATTGAAAATGTTTGATATTTAAAAAGTTTACAATTCTATCCAAAAAACTCCTCTTTCAACTCAAGAGAACCTTCATTTTACATCGAAAAAAAGCAATAATTTCAATGTACTTTACGAGATGATTGAAACTGTAATATAGGACTAGATATAAATAATTTTGAAAATATAAATCAAAATGTTTACTTTGGTTATAGCTTTATTTATGGAAACTGATTTCTAAAATTTGTCACTGCAAAAATGATATATTATCTATGGCCAGTCATCTCACACCTGTTCAAGATATTTGCAGCAAATCTCGTTGAGTTAAAAATGTTTGTGCTTGTACATGTAAATCAAATTGCATGCCAAAAACAGCCTCGAATATTGACAGCTTATTATCTAATTTCACAATCGTATGTCTAAATTGAAATTTATGAACAGTTGACATTTGATTCTTAAACGTGTGAGTCATTATTTTTGTCAAATACTTGACAGTATATATAATTTATTATTGACCTGATCCAAAACAGTTATCAATTGCAAAATAAATCTTTGTATTTGGTAACTATTTTAAATTCTGTCAATTTTATCAAATTAAAAAGGTCTCAAGTCCATAAACCGAGAAAAGACTTCAGAATTTCAAATCAATACAACTTTTGAAATAATTTTGATATTGGAAACAATTTTTTTTACCATATGTTAAAATTGTTACATAATACAAAAAAAATTTCAAAAGCTATGTATTTTAAGTCATAAGCTATTCAAAATCAAAATTTTGACTGGAGTCTGTTCTCAATTTATTGTCCCGGGGCTCGTAACATAAAGGTTACTTAAGTCTAAGACTATGCTTAAGTAGGACTTAAGTACATTCTTAGCCTTAAGACCGTAACTAGAGGCGTGCTAAGATTTCACAATTTAAGCAAGACTTAGGCGGCCGGTAGAGGTGACTTAAGTATGTCTTAAGTACCACATACAAACATTTAGAATTAGATATCGTTAAATTCCGGCATTATACATCCTTGATAATTTTATTTTCAATAAACATGATTAATATATACGTACATGTTAAAATAAAGCAAGGTATATAAATTTTAATAATTTGTTCATTAGAATAATTTTGATAAACATTATTAATCGTACAAAATAAGACTGTGGTACACACATTCAAAAGTTTTATTTCATTGGGATTGATGCTTACACGTCATAAACACTACTCACTAACGTAAACACTTGTACGAGTATGGCGGCCTTATACGTGCACTTGAGAAATGTTAGAAAGAACAGGACATTCCAAGACAGGGTGTTTCTGGGGGAGACAGAAGACGATGAGTATTTAATTTCGAGATATCGCCTCGACAGAGACTTGATAGAGAGAGTCTGTGAGTTAGTTAGATGCGACGTGGAACGTCAGACAAAAAGAAACCACGCATTGAGTGTCTCTACTCGGTTCTCACGGCTCTGCGATACTATGCAACAGGTAGTTTGTTTAGTGTTTTAGGAGATGCTCAGGGTATGTCTAGAATGATAGTTTCAAGGGTAATTTCAGATGTATCAACGAGTATTGCAAATCATGCAAACGAGTATATAATATTTCCAAACTCCAATGCAGAGAAAATTAAAGTAATGCAAAATTATCACGAGTTATCAAGGTTTCCCAATATTTTGGGTTGCATTGATGGAACTCATGTTCCTATTAGAACGCCTAAACAAGATGAACATTTGTATGTCAACAGAAAGAACTTCCATTCTATAAATGTACAAGGTGTGTGTGACTCCGACCTCAGATTTACAAATTTAGTGGCCAAGTGGCCTGGGAGTTCACATGATTCATTTATATGGACAGACTCTGCTCTTTCGTTGAAGTTTGAAAGTGGTAAGTATAAGTATTGAATACAATAACTTTTAAGCATAATTTTAAATGCTATGTGAATGTGGTAATTATTAGTATTGAATATAATGACTTTTAAGCATACTTTTAAATGCTATCTGATATACATATATATGAAACGAGCTCAAATTTGATAATACAGATGAAATATATTAATATTTGTATTTAGGTGAAATAGGCGAAGGGTGGCTTCTTGGAGATTCGGCATACCCCCTCAGACCCTGGATGCTGACCCCATATCTACAACCTTCCACACCTAGTGAATTTCGATACAATACACGTCACATGAAAGCGAGAAACACAATCGAGCGCTGTTTTGGAGTGTGGAAAGGTCGTTTCCGATGCCTTGATAAAAGCGGTGGGCCTGTATTATTTGATCCCACAAAAGCCTGCAAGGTACACATTATTGTAATTGAATTATTTATTTGACTTTAAAACACCGCAACGTTAATGAAATAAAGCTAAATTTCAGATTGTTGTTGCAACAGCTGTGTTGCACAATATGTGCATAAACAAAAGAATTCCTCTGCCAGAAAATGAGATACCTATCGAGTTTAATGACAATCTTATCTATGATGGAATTGTGAATGACGGAAGAGAGACAAGACAGCATCTGGCACTAAGACTTACATAATTTTTTTGGAAATCATTGAACTCTGCAGGTAAAATAAAGTATTTTACATTTCTGTTTTCGTTACAAACGAGAAATCCCCGTCTATTTCTTTCTTCCTCTAAATGGCATCTTCTTTCCTCTATCTTCAGTCTTTCTTCATCTATCTCCAACCTCTTCTTCTCTATCTACAATGGATAGTGACACTTTAATTGTGTTTGAGTGTTATTTCTTAGAAAAAACACATAGCATAATAAATTCATGATATCGTAAATTAATTTTTTAGTACCTCTAATCTCTCCTTTTCTATTTCAATAAGATCCTGCTCTCCATCAAAGGCTGAGGGTCTCTTTCTTTTGGAGCTCTTGTGGATACCACTGGATGAGGATTCCCTACTACATTCACCGTGACTGCAAGTTGATTGGCTGGATGTACTTTGACTTTGATCTTGTAATTCACTGTCCATTAACAAGTTTTACTAATTTGTCAAAAGTATGTATCTCAATAATATCTTATTATAAATGATTGATTGATTGTATACTGTTTAACGTCCTTCTCCAGAATATTTCACTGATATGGAGACGTCACCATTGCCGGTGAAGGGCTGCAAATTTAGGCCTATGCTCGGCACTTACGGCCTTTGAGCAGGGAGGGATCTTTATCGTGCCACACCTGCTGCGACAGGGGGCCTCGGTTTATACGGTCTCATCCGAAGGATCGCCCCATTTAGTCGCCTTTTACGACAAGCAAGGGGGTACTGAGGACCTATTCTAACCCGGATCCCCACGGGGATATTAAAAATGAAGATATTATAAACAACAATGAATGTGATTTACCTGTCTTCTTCATTGACAATATCAACAGACTGAGGGGTGCTGCAAGCAGCTGTGTCATATCCCCCGGGAATTCCCTCAACGGCGGTTTGACCCATTGTTTCAGCAATCTTTATCTCAGTGTTGGTGAGCGCTTCCGCTGATGACACTCCTCCGCCAGTCTTCCTTGCTTCCCTCCGAGCCATTGACAATTTCTTCTTAGTATCACTAGATACATTTCTCCATTTTTTCCGAACATCTTCCGATGTCCTTTCAACACCGCTGACAGCGCTCACCGTTAAGTGTTATGTTGTAAATATTATAAAGTGTAATACTGCATTAACTACTAGTATTAAAAGTCCCTTATTAAAAAAAATCATATGGTACAAATATATGTTGTACACTGTTAATATATCACTCAGCTTCTGTATGCAAATTAAACGCAAGACATTATGTATCATGGCATTATAACCCCGGGGGTGGTACTGGGGGAGGGAGGTGGGCTCCAATTTTTTGAAAATAGTAATTACATGAGATGACATAATTTTCTCTTCAATTACATTTGCTTGGTAGTGCCCACCAAAGCTAAAAATATTTCGTTGACCACCCCCACCCCCTAACTGAAATTGATTAAAACGGGTGTATAAAAAAGACGTGTTGGTATTCAAAAAGAATTACAAAAGGGGAAAATGTTTTTTTCTAGACTTCATAATTTTTATTCTTTTGTTATAATCCCTATGTTAAAAAATGATATAAATATCCTTTACCTTTGATGCAATGCCACTCCATAGTCTTTGCTTACTTGCATTCGTCGATACGTTTGAAAAGGAAGAATTTATGATATCACTGTTGTTTTGGACTTCCTCAATAATAGTTTCGATTTCAAGTTGGGAGAAATTCGGTTTCCGTGCCATTTCTGCGACCTGCGACAACGACGAAACCAGCGCATGCAGTGAACACTTCTCAAAACGATATGTAATTATCTAACAACTGAACACGGCAAGGGCGGATTCAGGATTTTTTTTCAGAACTTGATCCATTATGTCAAGTAAAATAAATCGTATTAGATGCATCATTACTACTGATTATAACTTCACATACTCAGTGTTAAACTTTATAAGAATGAAAATCTGCCCCCCCCCCACCCCCGCATCATTTGATCCACCGAGTGGTCCATCACTTCCTGTTTTAAAAAAAGCCCTGTCCTTTCCACATCCTTATCTTGAGCATTTCCAATTTTAAGATTATTTCATAGAAGTAATTTAGTACTAAATACATTATTACCTAATTGCCAATTAATTTTATCTCTACTTTTAAAAATCATATTCAGTTGATTCATGTTTCATTTATATAATTTATAGTCAATTGATATACATATACATGTATCTAAACTCTAATTTAAAATATATTCCTAACATATGTTTTCGACTTAAGTCTGACTTAGCTAAGACCTAGCTTAGTCTGTTTTATGTTACGGTATAAGACTGACTTAAGTAGTACTTAGGAAGGTCTTAAGAATGTGCCTAAGTCCTACTTATGACCCTACTTAAGTCAAAATCTTAGCAAGCTTTATGTTACGAGCCCCCGAGGCCTAAGTTTTCCAAATCTTTGTACGCTTCTAGTTACGATCTTAAGTTTAAGACTGTACTTAAGTCCTACTTAAGCACGGTCTTAGACTTAAGTACCGTAGCTTGTATGTGCAGGTCTGGGGCTCGTAACATAAAGCTTGCTAAGTTTTTGACTTAAGTAGGGTCGTAAGTACATTTTAGGCACAATCTTAGGACCTGTGTAAGTACTATTTAAGTATGTCTTAAACCGTAACATAAAGCGAACTAACCTCGGTCTTAGCCAAGTCAAACTTATGTTAAAAATATTTCATATGAGTCAACCTATGGTTTCTTATTTTATATAGATATATTGCTAAAAGTGATTCAGTGAAATTTATTACATATTGAAGTTGACGTCTTTACCTACTGGTTTTAGTTATGATAGAATATATTTCGTATTAAAATTATCATTGTGTTATAAATTAATCGGAATGTTTGGAAACAAATACAGCACGGTCAGAAAGTGGCGATTTGTGGTTCATTGTAAATGTACGTCAATTGTTCTATCACCTGAGATGTTTTCAGTTTACCTTTTGTAACTCTATTGTTTTGACAAATGTTCACTTATCCTGTCATTATCGCAGACAAGAAAAGATAATCGACCGTCTATCTACTTAAAATTGAAACTCTAAAGAGTTCAATACATGTTGAATCCTCGCTATGCATCAGTCCATGCATGTCAGAAGCAAAAACTGCAGAAGTTTTATGATATACTCATTTGAAATTTAATCAAGGATACAAAAAAAAAATCGGGATATTTTTTCGTATGTCTCCACTTATCAGCAATTCTCTCTCTCTCTCTCTCTCTCTCTCTCTCTCTCTCTCTCTCTCTCTCAAACGAGCTGTAGTGAGCTTTGTCTAAATCCACCCTTGTCACGTTCTACAGATATTTTTTATAATATTATTGTTACTGTCATCATCCTCTTTCTTTTCTGTTTTTAACAAATCATTTCAACTCATTTTTTCAAAGTGAAAATACAGATCCATGGTTTATTACTGTGTTCAATTTATTTCTATAGCCAAGGTCCCACTAATTTCAGACATATCCCTAAAATAAAATTTTGTATTTACATGTATGCTGTGTTGGGAGTGATATTGGAATCAGTGATCAGCACCCCCCCCCCCCCCCAACGAAAAAATAAAATTCTTCAATCAGCGTCAAATAGAGATAATTATTTTCTTTTATGCATAATATGAATAGAGGAATATTTTAGCATCGAAAGTCAACATTAAAGAATTCTAAATTTAGTACAAGAAAGTTAAGATATATTTAAGTCACCTCTACCGGCCGCCTAAGTTTTGCTAAGATTACCAAATCTTAGCACGCTTCTAGTTATGGTCTTAAGTTTTAGACTGTACTTAAGTCCTACTTAAGCACGGTCTTAGATTTAAGTTGCCTTTATGTTACGACCCCCTGATTTTTAAAATATAGATATGCATTTTGTTTGGTCAAATTAAAATACTACTGCGATTTGTTTACTACATACCAGAAAAACACGTAGATATTTGCATCTAATGTATTCACGCAAATAACAGTCGCTGTGGATTTTATCCCTGTATGCCCCTACCTCTGTTTATTTCTGGGCAAGTTATTTTTGTATCATATCCGCATTTACATTTCCGCCCTGCTCTATCGGTAAATATTTGTCCCGGTTTGTAGGAATCGATACCATCCGAACAGACTGGATCAGGAGCTGAAAAAGAAAAAAAAAGAATCATGTCAAATATACTGCTCACAGGTGGGACATCATTATACTAGCTATAGCCTTATAACATACACATATAGAAAATTAGAAATAAATTTTATTCGCATTAATTCTCTTTGCAACGAATGCATTGTGATTGGAGTTTCTTTTTTCATTTTTTTGGGGCATTAATTTACTGCGAATTATATATTTAGTATAGAAAATTAGAGATAAATTTTATTCGCATCAATTCTCTTTCCAACGAATGCATTGTGATTGCAGTTTCTTTTTTCATTTTTTCGCATTAATTTACTGCGAATTATATATTTAGTACACAAAATTAGAAATAAATTTTATTTGCATCAATTCTCTTTGCAACGAATGCATTGTGATTGCAGTTTCTTTTTTTCATTTTTTTTTTTTTTGGCATTAATGTACTGCGAGTTATATATATTTAGTATAGAAAATTAGAAATAAATTTTATTCGCATCAATTCTCTTTGCAACGAAGCTTTGTGATTGCAGTTTCTTTTTTCATTTTTTTGGCATTAATTTACTGCGAATTATATTTATTTAATGCGTATTTATCTAAACAGGCATACACTTAATTATAATCAAATAAATTGATGTCGCTTGTACTCCTACGCGCAATTAAACAGGAATTTGAATTTATATTTAAATACATTAAACTGATAAGAAAACAAGAAATTTTGAAAAGAGTTGTAATCTCCTTGTCATATTGTCAAAGTATAATAGGGTACCAACCATCTGATAGTTAAAAAAAAAAGAAGGTAAAAAAACATGGTCATACCCCCAACAAAATCGATTTAGGCTGAAAAAAAATCTACATCAAAGGAAAATTCTGATTTTAAAAAAAAGAATGAAGGTGGAAAATCCTGTAGTTTTGCCTAATATATAGATAAACTTTTGATCCCTTAAATTCAAAGGACTCTGACGTAAAAAAGATGTATATCGTCAAATGTGCGTCATAAAATTGACAAAATGTCTTCTAAAGATCTAAGTCACCGAGGAATCAGGTATTCAAATCGTTTTCCAACCATTTATCCGAAAACCGTTTTTTGAAATTCATAATTGTTCTTAGAAAGTTGTGGCTTTTGACGTATGAGTTGTGTTGTAATTGACGCAGAGAATATTTCCTTTCTGCAGATGACTTCTTCATTACGATGTTGGAATTCAAAACATTTCTTTAAGGTCGACAATGAGTAACAAATCATAATCAGTCCTTAGTACATTCCACTGAACAAACGCATTAAAGAGTGTTTATTTTCCTTGAGTGATTTGTTGTGAATGCTAAATATTGAAATCCACCATTCGTTTGTAAAAAGAAAAAATAAAATAAAAGTCTTAGTAAATGAATTATCATACATCTTTAAAGTATTTACTTAATATTTTCTTTTCTAAAAGAAAGCAAAATATAATATTTCTAATATATCAAAGAAACAAATAAAATGTAACGCAATGAAACAAAGAAATTAAACAATGAGACTTGTGCAAAATCGCTACTGAGGACCAAATTAGAAAAAAAAGATATATAGAAATAGAAAAGTTAATCAAAATATCACTTTATTATCTAAATATCCTGATTTAAAGATTGATCTAAGATCCACAAACCACATCCCTGACAAATGGATGACGAATTAAGTATGGGAGGTTAAGAAATATGATGAGGATTTGATAAATTTGATAGCTTCGTTTAAAGCTGTACTAGATTTTTACCACATAGTTATTTTGAAGTAAAGCAATACAGCAATTTAGATTTTTATTGTTCTCACATTAGCACAACGCATTTGAAGATAATCTGTTTCATATACAAATATGAAATATTAGATCAGTAAATAAAAATACGAAATAATAGTCTTGCCTTAACTTTAAAGCAAATGCAACTGTGTCCCTTGACGCAAATTTTATTATCCCAATGATTGTTTTGAAGACTTAAGTATGAAATTGTTCCTATACTATAAGAGTATTCATTTTTTTTCTGTTTTTGAATTCATCTGAACAGTTCGGATGTTATTGTTATCCAAAAAAAAAACTTTGAGACTCGAATGAGAATCATGACGTCACGACTTTCCATAAGATATCGGAGTATTCCGGTTAAAAGGGATCCGTTCTCACACTAAATGTATAAAGGACGGCAATAAAAAACAAATTGCATCACTGATTTGTTTATTTGCTCAAGTTCTTATAGAGAATTTTTGACGCCATCACTTGAGGCTGGATGACTTCAAATTTCGATGTATACTTGATGCTCGGGGTCAAAGAGCAGTCTTTTTCTTGCCAGTACCTACTACGACACGGGACCTCGAATTTTATGGTCACTTCCGAAAGACCAGTATCAAATTCCCGCAGTGGGATTCAACTCATGACAAAGGAACAAATTCCTTACTCCATGAATGTAGAGCTAACACTCTACCAACTGCGTCACACAGGCGACCTAATAACATTTGAAACAAAATTAAATAATTTATATATACTGTTACAGTAGTACTTAAAAATATATTTGGTTAATATTGAGTTTGTACTGTTTAATATTGTAATTCTTTAAACTGCTGTGGTATTCACAGAGATCTTACTTGTATTATTATTAATTTTTTAGTGTATTCTGCATTTGACCTATGTTTCTCCTCAGTTGACCTTTCTTTCAGTATATTAAAGAATGAAAAAATCGTCATTTACATCAAAATAGCCAAAAATATTCAAAGTCATAAAGGTTAGAAATATTTCTTTAATGTCATTAGCAGCAATTCATTACATTTTAATAAAATTATTTGCAGCGAAATGATGAGGCAGTGAAATTGAAAATGCATGTAAGATTTTTTTTTATCTGATACTCTGGGTAAAAAGTGAAAACGAACATTTATAAATTTCGTCAACTTGCTAAAGAATAGAAATACATGACAGAAAAAAGACAGAATTTTGGAAACACCAGCCGTGGAATCAGATACGGAGAAGGAGGAAGCCTCCCCTTAAAACCCGTCACACAGAATATGGACTCTTTTTGTCAAGGTATTTCAGTTTTTAGTATAAAGTTATATCTTTTTATCAATTTTTGTGTTTTGTATTGCTAAGAAAAAAAAATACCATTAAATGATCGTACATTAATTCGAGGTTTTAAGCATCTGATTAATATTTTTACATATCTGAGAGCTTAGCGCACATGTTAATATGTAGCGGTAGCAGATACATATTCTGTTGACTCACTTTACATGTATTAATGCAGTGCGCTATTATATATACATTTATTAAGATTTCTACACACGAAATTAATTTTTTTGGAGTATATAGTTCATGAATATCAATTTTATTGCGTTAATTACTCCCGTAAAATAACTAAATACTTGTTGATAAAATTATCTGAAAATTATTAAAAAAATGCATTTTTCATTACTAATAAATTTCTTTATAGAGTTTAATCAACTTAAAACAGTACATTTACCTACGAGAAACAGCAGACATCTATGGAATTTTTGTGCAACTGTTGCTAAAATAAATGAAATTAAACAGTTCATAGTTCCAGCTTTATATAAGATTTCGATATGGACCACGGCCGCTGAAATGAGCGAGCCGAGGCATCAATAAATTGCCTTGTAATGACATTCCTAAAAATGCAAAGGGAACCCTGGGAACAGATGTTCACCTTTCGTGACTAGTCCAAAATGCACTTAACAATATTCATTAAAATGACAATAAAGTTCGGAAGTCCTACTGGTGAGCCTAATAGCCGCAGATCCATTGATGGTTGATAAAGTCTGACACAAAATGGGCGACTGTGACGAGGTGTTCTTTTAAACAAAAGGGAACACTGTATTATTAACATTGGCTATTTACATCAACTATTGTTGACAGGGATAGGGAGGGAGTGTGACAGTTTCTGCGCCGACTGATGACACAATGTGCTTTGACGCTAAATGTTCTATTAAGGTTACACTAATAAACCTGGGAAAGAGTGGAATAATACAATACGGGCTGACTAAAAACGCTGATGTCCGGACTCGATCAAAATTAAGAATAAGGTGAATGTATTTCCTTTTGATAAAAGGCTTTAACCTTAACAGGTTAAATCCCATTATCAAAAGATGAAAAACTTCTGAAAATAACAGGGATTGCCCAATGCACTCGTTGTCTTGTTGCATTCAATGACAAACAGGCAAAGAAAATTAAAGAAATTATTTTCTTTGGCTGAATGGGCCATGGCGGCTGAAATGAGCGAGCCGAGGTAACAAAACATTGCCTAGTGATGGGACCCCTAAAAATGCAAAGGGAACCCTTGGAACAGATGTTTGCCTTTCGTGACTAGTCCAAAATGCACTTAAATATTCATTTAAATGACAATAAAAAAGTTCTACTGGTGTGTCTAATAGCAGCGACGAGACCTGTCACACATGGTCTGCGCCACCAGTAAGGCAAGCAAAAAGAACTAAAGTAAACAACCCCCCGACAGAAAAACTTACTTTTAATTACCTATCATAATAAGTCCCAAGTTGCCAATAATATGCAAATATCTTTGGGGCAAAATCATTGCCCAAATAAGAGAAAATACATCGCCAATTAAAGGACTAGTCTCAAGCAAATACAAGTTCCAAAAAAAAAAAAACCCAGTCATATTATGCAAATGTCTAGCACTATGACCCCATAATTTGTTATAGCGCAGCCATGGCCCAAACTCACCCTGTGTTGGTGAAACCTTTAATTCAGGAATTGAAAGAAAAGCCTGCACCCCTTGCTGTAACCTTGATTGATCCCAATTTTGAGAGGTGTACCTTGTCACCTAAAAACAACTCCGGACAATCGGTTTGGATCTCAGGGAACCTAATGTATCTCCCCGGCCCTTATAAAGAATGATGCGTCACTGTTATTGAGGAGCTTTCTTATCTTCTCCATAGCTTGTTGGTGAATGTCCCCCCACTCCAATGTAGCCGAGGTAAAATTTGAGACCATACTATTATTGTTCAAGGCAACTGCTGTGTGAGTCTCTGTAGGGTG